TGCTAGATACTGAGGGACATACAAAGAAGGGATTTTTATCCCTAAGAAGCTTATACTCAAGGTGAAGGTAAGCATATAAACAGGATTAATGAAGAACACCAAGGCCAAATGAGTAGTGGAGACATAGAGCCTGGGATAAGTTGAAATCACTGTGGGTGGATGGCCAGGGAATGCTTGCAGAAGTGGTAAGGGTTGAGCTGGATCTTCAATAGGTTGGATGTAGGTAGTTGGAGCACTGTAAAGAGAAGCCTTCAAAAGGTTCAGGTAGGAGAGAGAAGTGATATTAAAAAGGCAAAGAAGAGAAATAAGTTGTTGGAGCAAAGAAGAAGAAATCAATATGGCCTAGGATTGTACCAGAGTGGCTGAAGACAAAGATGGCCAAGTGGCTCAAAGCCAAGCCAAAGAGGACCTTGTGCTTTCCCTGTAGACCTTGGAGGGCTGAGAAGTTTTTGATAAAGAAAGTGATATGATAAAACTCTAAGTCCATAGAAATACCAACCATTTCCTCCTTTCCTGAACACAGGCTGCAGTCTCCCCTTACACATGAGATTCCGTCTCCAGCCCTACCCTTTGTTTCCAGGGGGACAAGCATGCTCTGTGCCTGAAGATGCTGCTCAATTCTATGTTGATACTTGGTGCTGTCTTGTATCCACTTCCGGGTTGGCCAGGGCATGAGCTGGATTTTGTTTTCAAGCCGCAGGAGGTGTGGGGAGACATAAGTTTCTTCTGATATTTGACTTCTAGGCCCCTGTGAGTAGTACCTATAAATTTCATTCCAGGCCAGTTAGGATTTAATATCCATTGAATAGTTAACAGGAACCAATCACGTTTCCATATTTAACCTCTAATACATGAAACATTTGGAATCCCCAACTGTGTTTGCTTTTTGACAAAAGTTGGGACTGGGGGGAGGCAGTTTCTAAATGGCTTTCTTACTTTTCTGCATTACCTCCAAGTCTTATAATATTATTACTAGTATTACACAGAAAACTAACAATGACAATAAAAGAAATTAAATAGGATTATATTCATAGATGTTAAATACATAGTGGGCTGTAACTTCGCTCCCTAGTACCTTAGTATAAACAGTATTAATTCTAGCTATTGAATGAATGAGTAATGAATGTATGAAAATGCATATCCCTGTAATAAACAAAGATGGACAGATTCGCATTCAACTATATTTATTGAATTTCTAATATAATCCAGATTCTCAGTAGCTGGTGAGGGTCAGAAATCTGTAACTCTTTGGTGATTCCCAGGAACATTCCAGGGGTCATCAATATTGCCTGCCTGTTAGAATAACCTTAGAAGTTTTTTTTTTTTAATATTTATTTATTTATTTGAAAGTCATAGCTATTACAGAGAGGGTGAGACACACGCAGAGAGATCTTCCATCTGCTGGTTCGCTTCCCAGATGGCTGCAAGCCAGGAGCCAGGAGCTTCCTCTGAGTCTCCCACATGTGTGACAAGAGCCCAGGCATTTGAGTCATCTTCCACTGCTTTTCTCAGGCCATCAGGACACATTAGGATCAGAAGTGGAGCAGCTGGGACTTGAATGGGCACCCATAGGAGACGCGGACATCTCAGGCAGTGGCCTTACTCACTGCACCACAGTACTGGCCCCATTTTGGAAGTATTTAAAACTACAGATGCCTGTCTAACACCAAACAAATCAATGGAGTGTAAGAGGGGAAATCGTGGGTGGGCCTTTGGCCACAGGTTACAGTGCCCACATCCCACATCCCAAACCCATAAATAGATTTGATTCCTGGCTCCAGCTCCTGAATCAAGCTTCCTGCTAATGCAGACAATGGGAGGCAATGTTGATGGCTCACGTAATTGAATCCTTGCCACCTATGTGGATGACCTGGATTGAATAACCTGCTCCCAGGTTTAGTTTCAGCTCAGCCAAGCCCCAGCCATTGGATGCATTTGGGGAGTGAACTAGCAAATGGAAACTCTCTCTCTCTCTTTCTCTCTCTCTTTTTCTCTCTCTCTCTCCCTCTCTCTTTCTACCTCTAGGATTTTTTTTAATTAGAGGAGACCCAGGCATCAATATTTTTTAAGATCGCCAGGTATTCTAATGGCACCACTGGGCCCAGCCATGTTATGCTGACAGTAACACTGAATGGATTTGCCCAGCCTCACCACATTTTGCCTTTTTTTCTATGGGAAAGATCTATACTATAAAACCCAGGAAAAAAGGCAGAGTTGTTTAAAAGAAGAGAGGAAGGGAGAAGAAAAAAAATTAAAAAACAATTTGTAATAAGATATTAGTGAAAAGAAAATGAGAGTTGTCAAAGGCAGTATGGCAAAGTAAAGGGTGGAGAGAAAGATTTGAGATTCATCACTGAAGCAATTTAGCAACTTTAAGCTGAAGTTAAATAAAGCTGATACTTACATAAGCATTTTGTTCTCATATAAAAAAGGGTTTTTTTTTTCCTTTGGGAGCCAAAGCTTTGAAAAGTTCATGGAAGAATGGAATGAAAATATAAGTTCATTTGGGTACAAAAAAATTTTTTGAAATCTTTGCAGTTTTTTCAAAATATGCATTTTTCCATGACTGTTTTGAAGACCCATCATATTTATATATTTACCCTTCCTAGCAAAACATGTAGAAAATCAGAAATGTGTCTGTGTATCTTCTTTATGATTATTTGGCAAGTGGGAGCCCTGAGGTTTGCTGGAGAATGAAGATACCTTGGACACCAAGGTTGGGGCATTGTCACCTGCCTAGTGTTAAATCCCCTAACTGGCTCCCAGGCTTTGTGGTCACCACAGCCGTACGGTGTGCATGTTTCCTTTGACTTTAAAACGCTCATGTCCTCTATTAATGACCTCACAGACAACTGTGATCCAGCACTTGGCGGGACAGGAACATGGCAATACCTTTATGCAGTCCTTCAACACTGCACCTCAGTCAGAGGGTCCAAAATCAAAATCCACGTCCTACTCTTGTCATCACAGGGATGACTCTTTGCTACTCAGCGTATGTGTATTGGATCTGTTTCCAACAGGATAACAACAAAGGGGAATTCCAGTGCAGAAATTATTTGTATCCACACAATTCTAGTGAGGATGGGGGATGATGTTTTTCAACTGCCAATGGCAATTTAGCAAATACTGCCTTCTTGAGTGAATATAGAGTATCAAAAAAGAAAAAGCAAGCTTCTCCCGCCTGCCTTCCTCGCCCGAGCAGCCCTTCACCCTTACTTAATGAAAGGGAACAGTTGATGCCTCTAACTCCTCTTTCATTTAATCTCATTAATGCAGTCTGCTGGGATTCTAGTTGTGGGATAACATAGAGGCACCGTCAGACCTCAAGTGAAAAGTGTAATATTTTTCAGTTAGACTTTTAATTGCTACGTCAAAATGTGTGAGAACCAGCTCAAAACTAAAGCTGACGCCACGGGTGAGTTTTACATTTTCTTCTCTCTTCTGACACTTAGCTGTGTGAGCCGTCCTCCAGGCAAGAACATAAGCATTTGTGAGCTCTCAGCAAAATAAATTGATGGCTAGGTGTGGGGACAGAAAAAAAATTTTTTTGACTCAAGGATGTATATAATAAACAAGTCACTCAGGCTTAATTCTCCACTGGAAAGATATTTATATGTAAATATTGCCATATCCAGAAGTGAATTACCAAATGCATATTGAGATTAAATTCAAGTAGTCATCTACCACATTACGCTAACATTAGCTTAGCTGTCTGAACATCTCTGTCACAATTTCATAGACTTGATTTTAGTCATTATGATTATTATACTTTTCTAACTATCAAAAACATCCATTATTTTTATGTATATTATGCTTCCCCATTTATAAGGAGTCTATTTTTTTTAAATCTGTTTGGTTGAATGATTATTAACAATAAGATGAATTATGTTTGAGTTCTTCTCTTAAATTTCTTATCAGTAAGCAATGTGTGTTTCCCTGAGCACACATTACCTCAGAACAGATGCAGAATGGAGTGTTAGTTTTAAAAATATATAAGAATAAAATAATTTATTATCATATCTTTGCCAGCACTACATAGCAATGAACTACCACTAGAAATATTGAAATGCAAATTGTTATAATGTGTGCTTCAAATAATGTAAACCTTTCAGTTGTTTAAACTTGTTACAAACCAAACTAAAACTCTTAATATTGCATAAACTCAGAATTTCATCTTTCCACAATGCTTAGAGCTTCCTGGTGCTAGTACTTTTATAAAATACATTGGTTTCTATGAAATTACTCACCAATTTCAAACTACATGTATATAAAGGTTGTATTGTTGAAATAAACCATTACCAGCAGACCACAGTCCGACATCAATGAAGTATTTAAACAACTATTTATCCTTACTACTGACAGTCTTAGGATATTGTTGTTATTGTTGTTTAGAAATTAATAACACTGGACGTATTAGCGTCCAGGTACTTAATCCTCTTTGGGTCTGAATCATAATTAGCAGAGTCACACAAAAGAATGGAAATTTTCTTTTTCTCCTAATTTGGGGTGAAAACACCAAACAAGAAGTTACCTTCCATTGTAAAATTACAAAAAACATAGTGTTCAACTTTAGAGATTTATATGCATGCACGTACATACATACACAATTTGTTTTTAAGTGAACTATATGAATCAATGTGCTTTTGTGTTTTGGAAAGAGAGACATATATTTTTTTCTTCTTGTGGAATTAGAAGGGATATCCTAAATTAAAGGTGCAGCTTATAGTGCAAGTTACTGCAGGATACTTAGTGCTATGCTTAGTAATTTCTAGGTTTCACTAATGCCCTTTTCTTCTAGTACAGGAGATCTTCCAAAAGATCAGGGTAAACTCATATTATGAAAATGCCATACATGAGTTTTGAAATGTTCTTCCACTAGAATAAACTTGTTCATATTTCCAGTTGTCTATGAACTTTTTGACATATCTTCATATTTTCTCTAAAAAATAAATGTTTACTCTTTTAGAAGTAGATAAAACTTCTAAACAAATAGGGAAAAATATTTTCCTGCCTATTTAAGCCTCCTTGTAGCACAAAAACGCCGTTGGTACAAATTAATATATAAGAAACACAGCAAACAGGATGAACATGAACATTTCCACTCAGATATTGTTATAGACTATCAAACAATAGATATGAAAGTTCTGCTTATAGAAAAAGCAGCTCAAAGGAGGACATTTGTTACAATGGAGGCTGAAATTTACTCTATCGATTCTTACTACTTTTTGTGAGCAGCGTCTCTAGGAATAAAAAGGAGTGGTCCTCATATTCATGCAACTTCCCCAGCTTACATAAACACTGAATAAAGCTGTTGGGGATTACGTGCAGGAGGCTGGATCTGATGAGCTCAAAAATAAGATAGCTCGGGCCCTATAATATTTAGGATTATGCTGGTAATCTCTTTAGAGGAAGTGTGCAATATCAGCAGAACAGGCACAGCAGTCTGAGGGAGCTACAGCTCATTCTACATTTGTGCCGGTGACTAGGCCTTTGCCTCAGTCTCACCTTAACAAGGGGCTTGGTGATGTTCAGCAAGAGGGAAATTAACAAGACAGAGCTTCTGGAGTGACTCCTAAATGATCATTTTACCCCTGAAATAATTTCTGGGACTGTGTGCAGATGAGAATACTTTCTTTTAAATTCTGTATGTCTCCTTTTTCAAAAAAGAACGTATTTGTAAATATGAATGACACCCAAAGCCTGTCTTTCTCTAATTTCTGAAGTCATTCTTGTCTCCAAAGATGAAGCGAGAATTAAAATTGTCTCTTCAGTTCTATGACTTCTTCTCATTTCAAAATTCAATGCTGAAGCAATGGAGGCTGAATTGCAAGTTTGCTAGAATATAAATGATATAATAATGTTATTCTCAAGACAGAAATTTGCAATATCTTTAGCTATTGTACTATTATCTATGTCAAAGACAATCAAAGCTCTTGCAGATAATCCAAAAAATGAGTTCTTAAAGTCTGAGTTCTTGTGCAAAGATCATTACTGTCATTTTCTCTTTCTCTCTCCCTCCCTCCCTCCCTCCCTCCCTCTCCCTCTCCCTCTCCTCTTTTCTTTCTCTCTCTCTCTCTTTCTCCCGCTCCCTCCTTCTACCCCTATCTCTTTCTCCAACATGCACTCACACACACACACACACACACACACACAAACAGATATAAATATCTTACTATGTTCCAGTTTGTTTATATACTTATTCGCTATGTCATTGGCTAAGACCACATTTAAAAACAAAAGTATTTGTTGAAGTGACAAATAATACTACTATTTCAATTTCAGCCACCCAGGCAAATTGTATGATGTTCTGGGCCAGTTAAAGTTACTGTTAGATTGCAAAATTTCATATGATGCTAATATTCTGATCTTACGTAGACATTTTCCTGATGTGAAGTGATGATCCACCCACATACCACATGAAACACTGTTGTCACTTTTATTTTACAGGATTTCTCTTTTCAAGAACAAAGGCATTGAAGTTAAATTTTGATCACTTCCTTTTAGAAAATATTCTTTTCCCTTTTCCAATGGTCCTGACATGTCTCTTGTCTAAACACACTTCAAGAGATTTAGTCTCTCATTGGCATCAACCAGAGACATGTTGTACTTGTTGCCAAATTCTCTGACCAGATGCTGAGAACCTCAGAACAGTGTCCCTAGCTTCTGTCAGTGAAAAGAAAGGGAAATACTATTGAGCGTTTTCCCCTCTAGATTTTAGTTGCTTGACATTTTCTATTTGAGTTTTTAGCTAATGGTCTAACCTTTGTGTGGACCTAACTTTTCAACTCAATTAGAGGATACCTAGGGGCACAATGGCTGGGTCTATGAGAAAATTATGTTTAGCATTGTAAAAAAACACTGGCAACCTGCCTTCTAAAGTGGATGTACAATTTACATACCCACCAGCAACATATGAGCACCGCTGATTGTTCTTTATCCTCTCTACATTTGGTATTGTCAGTTGTTTAGAATATAGACATTCTAACAGGCTTGGGGTAGCATCATATCGTTGCTTTAATTTCTCTGAAAACACATGATATTCAGCATCTTTCAATATTCTTATTACCAATGGCTATGCCTTCTTTGATGAGGTGTGTGCTCCCAACTTTCACCATTTTTAAAAATCATCTATTGAGGGGGGAGAGAAAAAGGGAGAAAGAGAGAGAGATCACATATGTTATTTCACTCCCCCAAATGCCTGCAACAGTCCATCACAGGTTGGGGCCAAAGTTAGGAGACAGAAACTCAATCCCAGCCTCCCATATGGGCAGCAGGAACCCAGTTCCTCCCAAGAACAAGTATTTTATCAGATATGTGTTCACAATATTTTCTTTTAGTTTCTGATTCTTGTCTTCATTCTCTTAATGTAATTTGATTTTTAACGTAGAAAAGCTTTTTGTCTTTTTCATTTTCTGAAAGAAGTTTTTTTTTTCACTTTTTGAATTACCTTTCTTCATTTTTTTAATTACTCCTCAGGGAATAGGCTCTGCCTGGTGATTCTGAATCAGCTGCAGTACCAGGTCTGTGAGTTCTTCCAGCCCCTTCTCCCTCAGTGATGTTTCTGCATAAACATGAACTTCCTATGAAAGCTTTCAACTAAGTGGAGCCTGCATAAAGGGGTTCAGAAAATTTTAAGAAAGACAAGTTTTGTCCACTGAAGCAAAACTATTTCTGTTTTCTTCTGTTTATAGCCAGAAAAATTAGGTATCAAGTATCATACTATCAACTTTCCTTCACAGACTGTTGAGGTTTGGAGCCAGGCATCCTGAGAGGTCAATTATAGAATGTCTTTCCTTTCTCCCTTCCAGAACATCTCATACTTTACTGCATGTGTGACTCACAGGGACGTTGTTGCAATGCAGATTCTGATTACATAGGTCCAGGGCAAGACCTAAACTTCAACTTTCCTATCAAGCACTCAGGTAAAGCCAGTTTTGCTGACCAGGGTCCACACCTTGAGTGATAAAGTGTCAGGAAAACATTAGAACAGATGAGAGGAAGACCATGGGTGTCCATCATGGCAATGAAATTCTGTCCTGAGTAACCAGCCTCAATGAAATGCAACAGCTTTCCAAATGTGGCATTTCCAGAACTAACATAAATCATTGAAATTAGTTTATTTTCTGGGTTTCACAAATTGCTTGACCATCTTACCTCTACCAAAAGAAGTAATCTTTGTGAATGTTATTTTTAAAATAGAAAAACTATCCTTTTTTAAAAAGATTTCTTTATTTATTTGAAAGTCAGAGTTACACATAGAGAGGAAAGGCAGAGAAAGAAAGAGGGGTCTTCCATTCTCTGGTTCATTCCTCAATTGGCCACAACAGTGGGAGCTGCACCAATCAGAAGCCAGGAGCCAGGAGCTTCCTCCAAGTCTCCCACGTGGGTGCAGGGGCCCAAGGACTTGGGCCGTCTTCCACTGCCTTCCCAGGCCATAGCAGAGAGCCAGATTGGAAGTGGAGTAGCCGGGTCTCCAACCGGTGCCCACATAGAATGCCGGTGCTTCCGGCCATAGCGTTAACCTGCTGCGCCACAGCGCCAGCCCCAACTATCTTTTTTTTTTTTTTTCTAATGTTCTCAAGAGAGCTTATTTACTCATTGGATATCAGAGGGTGAACAGCAGCCATAACCCAAGAATAAGTACACAGGAAAGGGGGGGAGCCACTACCAAGCAGGGATAGAATGAGAAGATGAAGGTGCAACTAACAATGGCTAAACCTGCAAAGGAAACCGTGTATGCCGGTGTTAATTAGAGAAATGCAAGATCACCATGGAATGTGCTGACTTCTCTTTCTCCTGCCTTGTCATAGTGATTAGAGTTGTTAGACGGGTTTTGTTCTCTAACATTTGAATTGCCCCAATGCCTTTATGGACAAAAGGAAACACCTAAAAAGCAACCACAAAAGTGGTTTGTCCAGAGTCCTGTGAAGGTTTTATCTTACTGCCTGCTAAATTAAAAATCCTGTCACTTCTCATTGTAGCTACAACTGTTATTACCTGGACATCATAGAACTGAGCTGTCGAATTCAAATGCTGGCCTAGGATGCTTGTTAAAAAGCAAATTCTAGCCGGAGCCGCGGCTCACTAGGCTAATCCTCCGCCTTGCAGCGCTGGCACACCTGGTTCTAGTCCCGGTCGGGGCACCGGATTCTGTCCCGGTTGCCCCTCTTCCAGGCCAGCTCTCTGCTCTGGCCAGGGAGTGCAGTGGAGGATGGCCCAAATACTTGGGCCCTGCACCCCATGGGAGACCAGGATAAGTTACCTGGCTCCTGCCATCGGATCAACGCGGTGCATTGGCCACAGCGCGCTGGCCGCGGCAGCCATTGGAAGGTGAACCAACGGCAAAGGAAGACCTTTCTCTCTTTCTCTCTCTCACTATCCACTCTGCCTGTCAAAAAAAAAGGAAATTCTGATTCCACTGGTCTTCAGTGAGTGTTAATAGTCTGCATGTTTTTTTGTTATTGTTGTTGTTGTTTATTGATTTGAAAGGCAAAGAGACAGAGACAGACAGAGATCTCCTATGCACTGGTTCACTCAATCTGGGTCTCCCATGTGGGTGGCAGGGACCCAGTTACTTGAGCCATCACCACTGCCTTCCAAGGTTTGCATGAGCAGGAAGCTGGGATAGGAAGCAGAGCTGGAATTTGAACCTAGACACTCCAATATGGGATGCAAGGCTTCTAAACTGTATCTTAATAACTTTGAGTTTTTATCATGCTCCCAGGTTATGCCAAAACCACTGATCTGCAAACCACATTGTAACAGTCATGTAAGACATTACTCTTAGCCTGAATGATGTCAGATCCCACACATATTATCTCATTATAATTAAAATATTGATGAGGCAAGTTGTGTTTAATGGGGATTGATTCATAAATTGAGTTTAAAACCCCTGTGGCTTGTGGCCGGAACTGTGGCGTAGTGGGTAAAGCTGCTGCCTACAGTGCCAGCATCCCATGTGGGCACTGTTTCGTGCCTCAGCAGCTCCACTTCCAATCCAACTCTCTGCTGTGGCCTGGGAAAGAAGTAGAAGATGGCCGAAGCCCTTGGCTCCTGCACCCCCAAGGGAGACCCGGAAGAAGCTCCTGGCTTCTGGCTTCAGATCGGCCCAGCTCTGGCCATTGCAGCCATTTGGGGAGTTAACCAACGGATAGAAGACCTCTCTCTGTCTCTGCCTCTGCCTCTCTGTAACTCTACCTTTCAAATAAATAAATAAATCTTTAAAACCACTGTGGCTTATAAAAATGATTTACCTTGCTTACAAGGGAAATACTTATTGTCGTTAATTGCTTTTAATGATTATACTAATTGCTGTTATTACTATTTATTGGTCTTATTTTCTGTTGTTTCAGTCCACAGTGAATCAGAGTGGGCAAGCAACTTTTGGAGTAAATGTTCCTGTGTCAAAGATAAATCAACTTCTTTTTGATAATCCTACAAATTATGTTTTGGGGGCATAAAATCATCTTTTTGCCATTATTCCATGGTAACAAGTTTTTAATCTAATGTTCAATAATATGTAGTTTAGGAAATTACAATGATAAAAAAAGTATATGTTTAAGTCATTTAGGAGCCATCTATCATCAGAATGGAAAAGAAAACTCAAATCCTCTGACACCCAAGAGTTAGTGGGAAGAGTTCAAGAAGAGAGGTAGATTCCAGATGTGTATAGATGTGAGTATGATATGAGAAATTAGGGTGCACTGAATTTCACGCTCTCTACTGGATGTTTAGAATGGAAACTGGCATTAACATGTGCTCTTTACTGATGACATCTATCTGGGCACAAGCCTAATCCAATTTTTTTAGAATCAGCAGGTAGAGTGCTACAGAGGCCAAGGCTCAGAACTTTTCCTTTCTCCACAAGGATCTGTTTTCCACACTACCATCCCACCTCAGCCTTCAGGATGTTGTCTGGTGAATCATTTAGAGTGGACTTGGGTACCAGGAATACCTGCTTCCTCCCAGGCCTTTGGGTTTGTTGTTATGTGACACCATAAAATTTTATACCTAATGGAGGTAGATGCTTATCAGTCACCCGGTGAGATAAGGGATGAATACAAACTAAGATTTTTAACTTGAATTTGTCACAGATGATATATAAGATACAATTTGGGGGGACAGCGCTGTGGTGTAGTAAGCTAAGCCTCCGCCTGTGGCACCAGCATCCTACATGAACATGGATTCGTGTCTTGGCTGCTCCTCTTCTAATCCAGCTCTCTGCTATAGCCTGGGGAACAGTGGAGGATGGTCCAAGTGCTTGGGCCCATGCACCCCCATGGGAGACCTGGAGGAAGCTCCTGGCTCCTGGCTTCAGATCGGCCCAGCTTCAGCCATTGGGGCCATCTGGGGAGTGAACCAGTGGATGGAAGACCTTTCTGCCTCTCCCTCTCTCTGTCTGTAACTCTACCTCTCAAATAAAAATAAATAAATCTTAAAAGAAACAAAAGATAAAATTTGGATACATTGAAATACAACTTGAGCTATTGAGAACATCTGCAAAAGAATTCCTAACCAAAATAGTCATCTTTATTGGGAATTTCTACATGTATAAATTGTGTTTCACTCCGTTATTAAGAGATTTAACTGCCCTGTCCAGTTTTAGCATAACTGCAAGTTATAGGAAACAGAGTTAACAGGCAAACTCAGGATCCAGGAAGGTAGCCTGTGCTTGTCCAGGAACACAGTGTTCCATGTCTGAGAATCGCAGCCTGGGAAGATGCTTCTCATTTCCCAGATGGAAAAAAAATCAAAGATGCTGCAATATAGCCTCAAACCAAAAGTCAGGAAATAGGGTTAGGCTACCACTTGAATGTCAATATGCCATATAGGAGCACATGTTCAAATCCCAGCTGCTCTGCTTCTGACCCAGTTCCCTGCTAATGTCTGGGAAAGCAGCAGATGATGGCCTGAGTCATTGTCCCCCTGCCACGCACTTGGGAGACCTGGATGGAGTTCCTGGCTCTTGGACTCATTCTCACCAGCCCTAGCTGTGGAGGCCATTTGGGAAGTTAACTGGCAGATGCTGTCTCTGTGTGCGTGCGTGTGTGTGTGTTTGGGGGGGCTGGAGGGGGAGGGACACTCTGCCTTTCAAATAAATAAATACATAAATCTTTATTTAAAAAAATTAGGGAAATGGAGAGAATTACTCGTTCATACTTTCAGATCTGGCCTATCTGGGTATTTCCTCCTCTGCAGATGGTTTACATAGTAGAGCCAAGTCTCAGTAACTTGATTCATTTAATTCCAAATGGGAGCCTTATCATATCATATCAGAATCACCTGGTAATCTTGTCCAAAATATATACACCCCAGCAGTCTCAAGATTCGTATTTCTTCTTGCAACACCACATACAAAAACAGTATTGCTTAAAGTCTCTTTCATAAAAGAGAGAATGTCAACTCATTGGTTGCATTGAAAGAAAACATGGTTAGGACCATAGCTTTAGGGAGTTTTAAAATTCTGCTTTAGGCACCATAGAAAACAAACAAACAAAAAAGCAATGCCTCTGTCCTCAATGGACTTAAAATGGCCAAAATATAGAAATGGCCAGGTTAAATTTTCAGAGTTGGAATGGTGGAAATCGAGAGCCACAAGAGTGTACATGGTAAGATGTTTCCTTCCAACAGAGAACACCTGAAAGATCCATTCCCACCAGCACGCCTGACAGATGCTTTTAAGAATGATGCATTTTCTGCTGGTGAGGGTATGGAGACAAGGAAACTCTCACACACTGTTACTGGGGATGTAGATTAGTACAGCAATTATGGAAAACAGTATGGAAATTCCTCAAAAAAGCTAAAAATAGAACTACCATATGTTCCAGCATTCCCCCTTATTGGGTATATATCCAAAGGGATTGAAATCAGTATGTTGAACAGACATCTGTACTCACACATTTATTGCAGCACTATTCACAGTAACCAAGACGTGGAATCAACCTAGGCATTCATCAATGGATGAATGGGTAAAGAAAATGTGGCATATGTACACAATGGAATGTTATTCAGCCATTTAAAAATATAAAATTCTGTCATTTGTACCAGCATAGATGAAACTAGATTACATTATGTTAAGTGAAATAAAGACAAATATCGAATGTTCTCCCTTGTATGTGGCAGTTAAAGTTGATCTCAAAGAAGTAGAGAATAGAACATTGGTTACCAGAGCCTGGGAAGGGTGTGAGAAAGTGGGGATGGATAAAGAACTGTTAATGGCTGTAAGGGTGCAGCTTCAGAGCAGGAATAACTTCTAATGTTCTAGAGAACAGTGGTACAACTATAGTGGAAACAATTGAATATTTAAAATAGCTAACAGAATTTTGAATGTTCTCAAAGTACAGGAATGATAAATGTCTGAAGTGATATATCTGCCAATAATTCTGATCTGATCATTGTACACTATACATGTATTGAAACACTACACTAAAAAAAAAGGAACACTATACTGTACCATGTAAGTATGTGTAATCAGTATGTGTGTACTTAATATATATATTTTAAAATTGAAAAAGTGATGCATTTTCTTTTTTAGTTTTTTAAATTTATTTATATAAATGGAGCAGAGGTCAGGCATTTCATATATATGAATACTTCCTACCATTCCTCCCTCACTCTGCCCCTTCCTCCTCCTCCCTTTCTTATTTTTCTTTTAAGTTTTTGCAATGACATTATTTCCATTTACTTTATAAACACAAGCTTAATCCCCCACTAAATGAAGAACTCAACAAGTAGTAAGTAGAGACTACTGTTCCTCAGGAGTATAGACAAAGGCTATAATCAATAATCACATCTCAAAATGTCAACTTTGCTCATATACACTATTTTTTTGTACTTTATACATTAGTTCCAACAAATCAAATAAAACATGATATTTGTTTTTTAGGGACTAGCATATTTCACTAAACATAATGGTCTCTAGTTGTATCCATTTTGTTGAGAAAGACAGGATTCCTTTTTTTTTAATAGCTGACTAGTATTCCATGGTGTATGTGTTCTATATTTTCTTTATCCAGTCATCATTTGATGGACATCTGGGTTGATTCCATAGCTTAACCATTGTGAATTGAGCTGCTATAAACATGGGAGTACAGTTCATATGCTGATTTCATTTCTCTTGGGTAAATTTCCAGGAGTGGAATGGCTGGGTCATATGGTAGATCTACAGATTTCTGAGGAATCTCCATGCTGTCTTCCATAATTGTTGTATGAGTTTACATTCCCATCAAAAAAATATTAGGGCATCTTTCCCACATCCTCACCAACATTTGTTATTTTTTGATTTTTGGATGTCAGCCATTTTTTTTAAAGATTTTATTTATTTATTTGACAAGTAGAGTTGCAGACAGTGAGAGAGAGAGAGAGAGAGAGAGAGAGAGAAAGGTGTTCCTTCCATTGGTTCACTCCCCAAATGGTCGCAACAGCCAAAGCTGCGCCAATCTAAAGCCAGGAGCCAGGTGCTTCTTCCTGGTCTCCCATGCGGGTGCAGGGGCCCAGGGACTTGGCCCATCTTCTACTGCTTTCCCAGGCCACAGCAGAGAGCTGGACTGGAAGAGGAGCAACCAGGACTAGAACCAGTGCCCATATGGGATGCCAGCGCCGCAGGCGGAGGATTAACCTAGTGTGCCACGGCGCACACCCCAGTTGACAGTCATTCTAACTGGAGTAGAGTGAAGCCTCATTGTGGTTTATATTTGCATTTCCCTGATGACTGCTAATCCTGAGCATCTTTTCATGTGTCTGTTAGCCATTTGCATTTCATCCTTTGAAAAATGCCTGTTCATACTCTTGGCCCATTTCTTAACTAGATTGTTTTGTTTCTGTTGAGTTTCTTGAGCCCCTTATATATTCCAGATATTAATCCTTTATCAGATGTATGCATTTTCAAGTTAATTCATTATTGTGGGCATTCTGAGGGGGGCAGAAGTAAAAGCATGCAAATTTTATTTAGCAAGAAGAATTGAAATTTGGGGGCTTTAATCCAAGTTGTAGAAAGAATCTAAGCAATTAAGGGGCCTTTAGAGGATTCTGGGAGTACAGAATGGGCATCTTTGAAGAGGAAGAGGAAGATAAATTTTCAGTACTCTGTAACTGTTGAATAAGACCTTCCTACCAAATCATGAGATCTTACATTAATTGTACTTCATAAATTGCTCTACCATAAGGTAAATCATCAAATTATTCATGTCAGTCTTTTACTTCAATCTTGGACATTGTGAAAATATTGTTTCAAAAAAACCCTATATATCATTACTTTTATAATATAATTATTTTTATAATTGGTAAATAAAATTTTAGCTATAATCTCCCCCAAAATTACCAATAACAAATACTAGTGAGTGGAAGATATAAAAAGTTGAAGGTATGAAAAACACAAATATCGAGCTATCATTGAAGACATTTCGGGTCCTATAAGTTTGTCTCTCAAGGAATGCTGCTGTTGAAGAAAACCATGTGTCACATAAAAGTACAAAAGTTGAACCCTCTCCTCAGTTTCCTTCTATTACCTGCGTTGTCACAGCTGGTGAGGTCCAAGCCATAAAATCCTCCCAGGATGTTCAATTTGAAGCCATGATAAATAGCATGTCACAGGATCTGTATTCACTGTGAGGCAATTGCACAGGAGGCTGTGCCTGGCATAATGGCAAGAGAGTTAGAAGTGGCAAACGCTGGAACAATGACGTGATCTGTTGTCCTGATCAGTGTCTGAAGTACTCTGTCTTGGAGATGTGCTTTGTAAAAAACATTGTATGAACTGTACAATTGTAGCTCAGAAGCATTTTAAGTGGGAGAAAAGGAAAAAATTAGTAGTTCACATTATTTTAATGTATCTCCAACTGTAATAAACCTCAGACTCATTCTGAGTCTGTAATGACTCATTCTGTTGCAATAAGTAAAAATGCTCAAAGGGTTTCTGAACTGAATACCCCACCCCAAGTGGAGCAACACACACACACATGTATATACCCATTTAAGTTCCTTCTTTCTCTTTTAAAAAAATGCTGTTAGAATGTTTATAGGTCTTCAGGATGACGTGTTGAGCCAAGATTATAAATATGCATAAATATGCAGATGTTGTAGTGAATGTTCCATGTCTCATTTGTATTTCTGAAGTTGTATAAGATAACCTTTGTGGCTTTCAAAAACATCTTCTCACACCCCAGGGGGCAAATTACCTCTATTTTCATTTTCTTTAAAGTTAGATCATTTTATAATTAAGAACTTATTGAAGCAGACTCTCCCAACGTGTAAGCTACTCCCTGGGGAGAAATTTATGCAGAGAGCCTCTGACTTAACATCATATATGCTACAAACTATACAATGAATACGTGACATTCTTAGTCAATTTGTAATCATTATAAACAAGCCACTGTTTGAAAGGTTATCACTAAAAAAAAGTACAAATAATTTATAGTGTCATTCATTAGGTTATGTTTAAAAGACAAGGTCTTTAATAAAGGAATAATAATGTGGCTTGTCATCTTATTTGTTTCAAATATCAGTTGATGATGATGATGAAATGATGATGTTGAAAACTGACATTTTGTGGCTCTACACTATTTACAAGGTACTTCTGAATAACATTTCCATTTAATCCTCACAAATCTATGAAGTTACCATATTTATAAGTCAGAAAGCATAAGGTCAGAGATTTTTTAACTTGGTCACTTCCCATGTTATTAACAGATTAAGGACTGGAATTCAGGAGAACAGAGAATGACATAAAATCTCATATTTTTCCCCATCAAAAAATCTTGAATAGTAGTTCAATAATCTGAAAGCTAAAAGAAACAGAAGCAAATAAAAACATGTAGTCTACTAAGTATTTTAATTAACTTTGTCTCTTTTGATGTCTATAACTGACTTGATTGGCACATATAGGAACTTAAAATTAGTATTCTGAATGTGCAGTTGTGGGGGAGGTCAGAGAATGAGCTACATAGTATCAGAAAATTTGCCTCATTTCTGGTTATCCCTTCTCAAGTCAACTCAAAAGCTTTATTAACAAACTGAATCCTCATTTTGCTTATAGGAAAAGTGGAAATTTTTGCTTACAAAGATAACTTGAAGTTCCTATGAAACATTTAATTTTGAAAAATTCAGTCTACTACCCTGAAGTGAAGTGTTTCATTTTCATAAAATATAAAGCAATAAGAAATAGAGGGTAATATACTTTGTATATTCAAGAATTAGAAAAGCTACAAAATCATGCAAGTGGCAAACTGATATACAATGCATTTTGAAGTATATTTTGCATAATTATCGTAAGTTGGGAAAGGAAATAGAAGATCTTCTTAGTGTGCATCATTTTAACAACTCTTAGAATGCTATCAAAGACATAGAATTATTACATTCTTCTGTGTGATCCAGCAGTTCCACTACTGGATATATATCCAAGGGATATATATCTTCATTCCCAAGTTTACTACAGTATTATTCACAATAGCTAAAAAAGGAAACCACATAAGTGTCCATCAATTGCTAAATGGGTAGAGAAAAAAAATTTCCACATCTCTACATTTTCTTTCATCATGTAATCTCACTTTTGCCATTGAATCACGTTTCTATCTTTTCTCCATTTGTCTTCCAACAAGTAATCCAGGTTTTCAGTTTCCAATACCCTAATTAGGAGATAACCTTTGGTTAGCTACTAGACAAGCTTACCTTTCTAAAGTACCTGAACCACCACTTTCATAGGTTCTGTACCCTGTTCACTACATCAACTCCTTATGTCCTGTGGGATCAGGTAAAAAGTCCTCTGCCTGACCCAAGAGCTCCAGAATCTAACATCCAACCACAGGACCCAAGTTTCCATCTAGCCCAGCTGCTATCTTAGTGATTTCAACCCACAACCATCCTAGACCGCCAATCCTTTCTTCATCTAATGCTTCTCCTTTCAGCCTAACCAAATCCTACATGATCTTCAAAATCAACAAATATGTCTTTATCCCCAATGAAACGATTTCACTTCCTATTGAATTCCCAATCAATGACCACATACTTGATTAATTTTTCTTTAATTTCTCTATGTTAATTACACTAGTAGCCACTATTAGCATAATCTTGTCCTGTGTGAACAGTTTTCTTCACCTTAGTGAACACATACAGCATGATCAGTATTGAACTGCTTGATTATTGGCATTTTCACAAGTAAACATCTAGCCATGTAATATATTAAGTAACCATATACTCTGCCCAACTCCTACCTGCTCCTCCCTGACCCAGTTTTGCTTTATTTACTTATTTAAAATATTACTGAGGTAAGACCATGTGAAAGCTGTGTGTGCAAATTTTCAAGTGCAAGTAAGAAAATAGTAAAGCCAATAGTTCAAGGAATCTTTGAGTCAAACAATTTAAGATCAAGCGTGGGGCTGGCACTGTGGCCTAGGAGGCTAAGCTTACACCTAAGGTGCCAGCATCCCATATGGGTGCCGGTTTTTGTCTCAGTTGCACCTCTTCTGATCCGGCTCTCTGCTATGAACTGGGAAAGCAGTAAAAGATGCCCCACCTGCTTGGACCCCTGCACCCACAGGGAGACCTGGAAGAAGCTCCTGGATCATCCCAGCTGCAGCTAATGTGGCCACTTAGGGAATGAACCAGCAAATGGAAGACCTTTCTCTTTGTGCATGTCTCTGTAACTCTACTTCTCAAATAAATAAATAAAAATCTTTTTTAAAAAAAATCAAGTGTAAGAAAGAGAAAACTGTAAAGGCAAGAATTTTGAAAACCTCTAGTCTTTGGTTATACTAGTTTAGTTTGAGAAAAAGCAATGTAGCAATGGTAGATGGGTGTCCTTTGACATAGAAGCTTAGGAGGGCCATTGACATAGTAATGGGTGACAGCCATGCAACCACACCCTCCTTGGTGTCTTCAAACTCAAATCTCACAGCAGGGATGGTGGGAAGGGAGACAGGAAGCAGGAAAGGAAGACAAGCACTCTGTAAGCTCAAATGTCTGCTTTCCCCTTTCAGCACAAATTGAAGTGATACCATGCAAAATTTGTGGCGATAAGTCCTCCGGGATCCACTACGGAGTCATCACGTGTGAAGGCTGCAAGGTATGGGACTTTAACCCCACGCGGTTCCATGTTTGTCTCAGGCACGGCACCTGTGTACCCCACAGCACACGTCCTGAAGCCTTCTTGAAGGAAGGCCTGCCAGCTGCCAACACTGGCATTTTTCTCTCTTGGGTGTGTGGGAAGCTCTTCTGTTTGTTATGGTCTAACTGGTCAGGAGCTCCTTAAAAGTAGAGTCTTACTTAGGAGCTTCAATTGTTCACATTTACACAGATGCACATCCAGACTTAGGCAACGCTTTTGCCGCATTGTCCTCCAGTGTTGTCTGTAAGACACTTAACCGAAGGTTAAAATAATGATTGTAAACTAAGGGGCATACACATACCTGCTTGAGAAAGAGGAATCCAGGATAACAGTTGCAGTGTGCATATGCCTACCTTTTAGTCTCCCATTCCAGAGCAAGAAGCAAAAACTGGAATCTTGGGAAGGTAGAAGTAGACCAGATGATTCCCAAATCCATTAAAAATCATCTGCCTCAATCTCTTCATTAGTCCCTGAGGTCCTGAAGAATAAAGCAAGATTACATCATCTCCCCTACCTCACTGATCCAGGCAGCGGAGAGCTGACCAAAACTGTGGGTTTCTTCACTCCCAGTCCAGTGTCTCCCTCCCAGAAAGATCTCACCAATCCTTCCAATAAAAACTCCAATCCTGTGAGCAAGTTCCTTCCCGAATAGCAGGCAACATATTCTGAAATAAGAGAAATTCGAAATCTTAAAAAGACATTTCTATACTAACTTTAAAGACAACAAGTAAAATGCAATTGCAATCTTACAGGGAACAGGTGATACGACATCTAATTTATTGGCAAGAATAAATCTATTTTGGATCCAAAATAAGTGAATCATTAGCTTAAGTTCAGTGAACTAAAAGAGGTGTAGTGCATCCTGGATTCTAAGATCCAATGTTAATCTTAAGAGGTCTGTAAACATAAAAGGGAAAAAAAAATTGTGTAACTGCCAAATAGTGGTGCTGGGTGAGAAACTGAGTCTTTATAGCAGTCTCAAAAAGGTATGATTCCTCAAATTGAAATCAAATGGAGCCGGCGCCACGGCTCACTAGGCTAATCCTCCGCCTGCGGTGCCAGCACACCGGGTTCTAGTCCCGGTCAGGGCGCCGGATTCTGTCCCGGTTGCCCCTCTTCCAGGCCAGCTCTCTGCTGTGGCCAGGGAGTACAGTGGAGAATGGCCCAAGTCCTTGGGCCCTGCACCCCATGGGAGACCAGGATAAGTACCTGGCTCCTGCCATCGGATCGGCGCAGTGCGCTGGTTGCAGCGCGCTGGCCGCTGCGGCCATTGGAGGGTGAACCAATGGCAAAGGAAGACCTTTCTCTCTTTCTCTCTCTCACTGTCCACTCTGCCTGTCAAAAAAATAAAAATAAAAATAAAAGAAATCAAATGGAAGAAAACAAAAAGGAATTAATGAGAATAAAAAGGGAGAGGGAAGAAGGAGAAGGAGAACAATATCAATGTACCCACCTGTCAATATCCTGATCTGAATTATCATCACCTCGACCTGCGTTCCAAATGATTAGAGATAATCCATGAATGAACACCTAGAGATATCCCTTGTACTCTGTCTCTCTGCAAACATATGATTAAGAATTGTTTTAAATGTTTTATTTATTTTCATTTATTATTATTTATTTCTTTATTTGAAAGGAAGAGTGACAGAAGGGGGGAAAAACAGAGACAGAGGGAGGGAGAGATATTCCATCTGCTGATTTATTCCACAAGTGCCCACAACAGCTGAGGCTTGGCTGGGCCAAAGCCAGGTGCCTGAGACTCTATCCAGATCTCCCATGTGCGTGGCAAAAACCCAAATACTGGAGCCATCAGCTGCTGCTTTCCCAGGACCTAGTAACAGGAAGCTGGGTGATAAGCAGAGCAGGTGGACTCAAACCAGTCATTCTAATTTGGGATATAGGTTTCCCAAGCAGAAACTTAACTGCTGCAGAGGAGTACCTGACCCAAGGATTGCATGTTATCCATCTTGGTGAATTGTTTTTAAATTCATCAAGAAGAAACAATAAAGAAAAAGTATAAGTGGGCAATGTTTTACCTTTCTTGAAGAAAGTATTGCTTTCTTGGGGCAGGTAGACAGTTTTCTTCATAAATACTCATAATTTTTTAATCAAAACATTTCCATTGACAGCATTTCTAAATGATTTGTTGGCTCATTATGCAGTTTAAGAGCTCTACTCTAGTTTACTTCATATCCATTGAAAATTTTTTTTTAATTGTCAAAGTAGGGATATTTGGTATTTTGTGGTATAAGCACTATTTGGAAAACATCTGATTTCAAAATATAAGGATATGTTCAAGTCTAGGAGCACAGCATTTAAACAATAAATTTTTAAAATTTAATGACTGTATAAATATAATTCAGCAATTCAATTGTGAGGAACTAATATTTAAGTTCCTATCATCTTTTTTATTTAAAGAAAAAATTACAAAAAAATTATGCTATTGAATTTATACTGTTGAAGCACACTCTGAAGTCTTAGTCAAGATGACTTTGTAAACCATGCTGTTTTATTTATTTCATGGAAAAGCCTACATTTGTAAATATGAGGATGCTACATTTTTCTTAAAGTAGAAAACTAAAGAAGCTCTATTCACAGTGAACATGTCAATGTCAGCACATTCAGTTATCAACCTCTGATTTTTCAGTGTACTGTTTTCAAATCAACCCATTTTATTTTTTAATTAATTAATTTTTTAAGGAATACAAATTCTGTAAGTACAACTTTAGGAATATAGTTATTCTTTCAACCATACTCACCCTCCCCACCTGCTCCTCCTCCCTCTCTCCTTCCCAGTTCCATTCTCCATTAAGATTCATTTTCAATTAACTTTATACACAGAAGACCAACTCTATGCTATGTAAAGATTTCAACAATTTGCACACACACGCATGCACACAAAAAATTTCTTGAGACCTAGTCTTACAGTTAACTCTCATAATACAACTCTTTGAGGATAGAGCTCTTGCATGGGAAGTTAATGCACAGTGACTCCTGTTGTTAATTTAACAATTAACACTCTTATATATGACATCAGTGAGCACCCAAGGCTCTTGACATGAGCTGACTAGGTTATGGAAGCCTTTTAAATCCACAAACTATGTCAGTATTTAGACAAGGCCATAAGCAAATTGGAAGTTCTCTCCTCACTTTAGAGAAAAGTACATCCTTCTTTGATGGCCACTTCTTTCCGCTGGGGTCTCATTCACAGAGATCCTTCTTGTAGAACATTTTTTGACACAGTGTCTTGACTGTCCATGCCTGAAATGCTCTCATGGGCTTTTAAGCCTGACTAGGAAGCCTTAAGGGCTGATTCTGAGGTCAGAGTGTTACTTAAAGCAATTGTCATTCTATGAGTGTGCTGTGTAAACCACCCATTTTAAATAGCACCCATTCAGCTCATGCACTTATTGAATTTCCTATTCATTCAACGTAATTTGAAATATAATCTCTTGCTCATGCCAAAACCCTCATTTACAAAAATGAGCAACAGACAAGCAAGAAATGTCTCACAATTAATGTCATATTGGCCTTAAATTAGGGCTGTAGCTGTGACTTTAGGAAACTCTTTTCTGTCATATTTTACTAAGTGTTACTAGAGTAATAAAAGATTTTTTTAAAAAAAACTCAAAATTCTTACTTAAAATGTAAATTTTAAATCATTTTTAATAAAGACCAGTAGTCTGAGATCATGCTTTGTGACAGTTTTCATGGTATATGAAAGATATCATTTCCTTTTTTTTAGAGATTTATTTACTTATTTGAAAGACAGGATTACAGTGAGTGAGAGGGAGGGGAAGAGACAGAGAGATTTTCCATCTGCTGATTTACTCCCCAGATAGCTACAACAGCTGGGGCTAGGCTACGCTGCAGCCAGGAGCCTGGAGCTCCGTCTGGGTCTCCCATCTGAACACAGGCGCCCAAGGACTCAGGCTATCTTCCACTGCTTTCCCAGGTGCCTTAGCAGGGAGCTGGATTGGAAGTGGAGCAGCCAGGACTCGAACCAGAGCCCATATAGGATGCAGGCTTTGCATGTGACAGCTTAACAATGCCAGTGCCAAAGGACATCATTTTGATCCCTATGGACTTATGTGTGATTTCTAATTTAAGGAGTTCTATGAATTCCATAGAACTTGGCAATCAGAAGTCTCATTCTGATGTCACTGGTTCATTAAATAAATAATACACATGAATATATAGAGATAAAACTACTCCTGTTGTTGAATGCCTTTGAGCACTCTTTCCCTCTAAGGAGATCCTTGGCCACACATCCCTTTCTTTATAGGTTAACCAAGCTGTTGTCACAGTTCTACGTTAGCCATAGTGAAGCCCATGACAAAAGGAAAACTCATGTAGATCCTGTCTTTCTTAAACCATTGGGTTTTATTTTGTTGCTTTAACACTTTGTTGTTAAACTATTATTTTTCCTGATTGCCAATGTTTTTGTTGGGCCTTAAGTCTGAGGCCAAGGTAATTGCCTCTCAGTGTCACCTAGTCCCATCCCTACTTTATCCTCCTTTGAATAGTTGACAAACACAGAAGTTATTTGAAGGAAGTTGGAAGACCTATTCTAGGCCTCTCAGAAAGGTGTGTACTGAACTTAACCCTTCTTGGCCTAGCATTTAAAATGTATTGAAATGCCTGGGTTCAAGTCCCAGCTCCTCTCCCAGTTTCAGGTCCCCGCAATGTATATCTTACACTGCAGCAGCTGATGGCTCAAGCCATCCCACATGGAAGACCTAGATTAAGTTCCCCACTCCTGACTTTTGCCTGGCTCAGTCCCCAACTGCTGCAAGGAAGTAAATTGGTGGATGGATGATATCTCCTCTCTCTCTCTCTCTCTCTTTCTCTCTCTCTTACCCTCTCTCCATTCCATCTCTCTGCCTTTTAAATAAATTAAAATGTTTTAAAAAAGAAAATATGATGCTGAGAGCTGTCTTTTCCTAAAATTTCTCTTGCTGTGTCTATTGTAGACCATCATTTTGCACAGGGCACTTTGCACTTTAGCTGCTTTGCTCTAGACAGTCCAAGAGCAAAGAGTGATTAGAGAAACTGATTGTGGAGGTGGATGAACAGAAGCGTGATAACTTTCATATCTCTAGAGAAAATGCTTCTTTTCTCCAATAGAATTTTTTCATAAGATAGCTAAAGGAGTTGGTATTCAAGGAATTTTCTTAAAATAAACTCAGCTGTGCATTTATTTAAAGGAGTAGTATACAGTCCCTGGCAGTTCATTTTGTACTAGAAGGACCCAAAGGGGCTTTTATGAAGACTTTCAATATTGCCAGAGCAGAGATAATTTGTTCTATTTTTTACTTATTACTTACTTCTTTTTTTAAGATTTATTTTTCATTTATTTGAAAGGCAGAGTTACAGAGAGGCAGAGGCAGAAAGAGAGAGAGGTCTTCCATCCCTGTTTCACCCCCCAGATAGCCGCAATGGCCAGAGCTGTGCCGATCCAAAGCCAGAAGCCAGGAGCTTCGTCTGGGTCTCCCATGCAGATGCAGGGGCCCAAGGACTTGGGCCATCTTCTACTGCTTTCCCAGGCCATAGCAGAGAGCTGGATCGGAAGTGGAGCAGCTGGGACTCGAACCAGTGCCCATATGGGATGCTGGCACTGCAGGCTCCAGCTTTACCCACTATGCCACAGCACCAGCGCCATTACTTACTTCTTGTTGAAGAATTTATACCAGAGCACTTCAAAAATTCATGGAAATTTGAATTAAAAGATACGCTTATGTTGATGCAAAACATGGGAAATCCATACGTTTCAAAAAAGTTCATGGAAAATATGTATCATGCAAAAACTTCATATGGATTTCAAAAATGTTTATGCACCAAAATAAAATTATCTTTTCATTCCATTTTCTGTGAACTTTGTGTAGTCCTCTCATATATGACATTCCTTTATTTAGAGATATGGTTGATTATAAGGTACATCACTGGTTTAGAAAACAACTTTCCAGAAGCATTCTGGCCAAATTAAAAAAACTTTCAAATGGCCGACGCCGCGGCTCACTAGGCTAATCCTCCGCCTTGCGGCGCTGGCACACCGGGTTCTAGTCCTGGTCAGGGCACCAGATTCTGTCCCGGTTGCCCCTCTTCCAGGCCAGCTCTCTGCTGTGGCCAGGGAAGAAAGTGGAGGATGGCCCAAGTGCTTGGGCCCTGCACCCCATGGGAGACCAGGAGAAGCACCTGGCTCCTGCCATTGGGTCAACGTGGTGCGCTGGTCGCAGTGCACCAGCCGCGGCGGCCATTGGAGAGTGAACCAACGGCAAAGGAAGACCTTTCTCTCTGTCTCTCTCTCTCACTGTCCACTCTGCCTGTCAAAAAATAAAAAATAAAAAAAAAGAAAAAAATTTCAAATGGGGAAAATGCATCTTCCAAGCAAGGAAAAGAGTAGCAGATACTGACTGACCCCACACTCTCAGTGTCACCAGTGCTAGCAGGACCTTGAGTTTCCCACCTCCACAGCACATGCGCTTCCCACTCCTTCCCCCTCCTCACTGCTCTGTGGGAGCAAGAGTTTTTGATTTTTGTTTTTTGTTTTTTTTTCCAGAACTGCAAGCTCACAATTTTTTTTAATAAAAATATTTATTTATTTGAAAGGCATAGTTACAGAGAGGCAGAGGCAGAGAAAGAAAGGTCTTCCATCCATTGGTCCACCCCCCAGATGGCTGCAATGGCTGCAGCTGCACTGATCTGAAGCCAGGAGCCAGGAGTCTCCCTTGCAGGTTCAGGGGCCAAAACACTTGGTCTGTCTTCCACTGCTTTCCCAGGCCACAGCAGAGAGCTAGATGGGAAATAGAGTAGTCAGGACTCGAACCAGTGCCCATTTGGGATGCCAGCACTGCTGGCGGTGGCTTTATCTGCTATACCACAGCTCCGGCCCCCTCAATGATTTTATGCAAACATTCATTAAATGAATGAATGAATGAATGAATGACACTTTCATATATATACTGATAACATATATTTTCCCCAGCAAAAACCTGTGCAAGCTATCCAAGGAGCAATATCCAAAGAATTTTAAAAATTAAGCTTTTGGAAACCAGGTGGCCACATGGCCCAACCACCTGTGTCAAGCTCCACCCCCATCCTAATGGGATTCGCTGCTCCTACTTCCCTGCCCACCCCCCAGCAAGGTTTTAAAAGGAAGGTTCCTGAAACACCTGGCTCTCTTTCTTTCTCTCTCTCCTGACCCCTTGTCTCTATCTCTGTCTCTCTCTTACACTCTCCTTCTCCCTCTTTTCCTTCTTTGCCCCTTCCCTCCAGTGTATTGGGTTTCCCCCAATAAACTCTTTCCCTTAAAAAAAAATTAAACTATTAACATTCACGGTAGAAAATGTGGCAAATTTAACATATGTTAATATTCACTGCATTCTCCTTCCTGTAATACTGTTTCTCTCCCCCTTCTCTTTTTCCCTTTAGGGTTTCTTTAGGAGGAGCCAGCAGAACAATGCCTCTTACTCCTGCCCAAGGCAAAGAAACTGTTTAATTGACAGAACCAACAGAAACCGTTGCCAACACTGCCGACTACAGAAGTGTCTTGCCCTAGGAATGTCGAGAGATGGTAAGGCATCACCTTCCTATTTCTCACTTAAGGACTTTCAAATGCATGTTTTGCTGAAATCTATTTAAGCTACTGGAAGATCTCTAGATTAAGAAATTGGAGATAATAGGGAAAGAAAACTATAGTGCTAGTAGTGCATTAAGAGGTAAGAAAGAACATATAAAATATAGTATTGCCTATAAAGTAGGAAAACAGGGAAGACTACCATAGTTCATGGAGCAGCCTGTGCTAACTAGGTTGCGTGAAAGCCACCTGAGCCGAGGTTGAAGGTGAGCACCCCTCTGAGGATCCTGTGAATGAGCAGTTTTCTGGGACAGGACACTTTCAGAGCCAGAACTAGAAGGTCTCAGACAAACCAGTGTCATCTGATCACTAGGTAGGCCTCACTGGTGTACAGATTTCTTTGTGTGTGGAAATGCTAAGGAGGAGAATATGCTTCTATAAGGAAGCTCAAAAGCTTTGCTGACTAGTCATAACCACCCAATTAAGGACCAATAGTGTATTGAGCTGTGATGAAGTTCAAGTCCAAAACTGTGTAGGTGTCCTACTCAGAATGGAATTCAAGTGCACACTCCACCTTCACACCCAACCAAATGGGTGGCTTGACTCCCCAGATGAGCCTTTTGATTAATGAAAGAGAACAAATTAACTCAAACAATATTATCAATGAATTTTACTAATTGTATGTCCATTTTTAGGCATACATGTACATTAACTCATCCCTTACTGACATTGGCCACAGCTCTCCTGTATCAGATTTTAAATGTCCCTGTGTACAGGAGCCATTTCTGGCTTGTTCTTCCTGTATGTTCAATGGTTTAAAGCAAGTAACCAGGTGAATGATCCATTGAATTATTTTCTGCCTGGAGCCTGAAAAACAGGCAGTATCCTTGATACTTCACTCTCTCTATGGGTTCTGTGCCTCTGATCATGTTCCCTTCAGTGATGTTCAAGGTGGTATGGATCAAAACAAAACAAAACACAAAAGAAACTTCCTTAAGTTTCAAAGAATGATAGATAATTGTAGGTACTGAACCTTATTATATAGGGGTGTTGCGAGCTGTTCATTTATTTACCTTTTCATTAAGTCCCAAGCCATTTATACTTGTCTTGCACAAGTGTGCACCTATAAGACAAATTTTACAAAAAAAAATTGAACTTGAACCCTTCAATTTATTCAGTACTTCTAAATCACCAGTGATGAAGTTTCTAAAACTTTCCTATTAACCCACTGATTTTTTTTTCTTTTATTTGTTTTTGTTGTATCTTGTTTACTTCTGATTTTCTCCTGTTTGGAGGCAGCATATTAATTGACAGTCTCTTAAAAGCCCCATTAATAACTGCAAAGAGATAAGCCATGTATTTGTTTGTGTTACTTCTTCCTACAACAAAAGAGAATATCTCTTCTAGAAAGGCTGATCTTGTAGGTCTATGCTGGTGAAGAGAACCATGGGGAATGGATGAACATAGGGTCCATGCAGACTGAGCAGTCTCAGTGCCATCAATCCACAAGATCTGGGAGACTGAATGAATCCTACAACATAAAAAAAATGTGTTGGAAAGGTAGGAGGCTATTTAATGGATAGAGCCACAATCTGTTCTCAAGGGGGAAGAAATATACTATAGCACATAAACCTCTGTGTGAATGAAAGAAGGTAGTGTACAAGGACACTGAGTAGTAAGTCTAAGGATCAGTTTTGACTAAAGATCCAAAGGCTTCCTGACACTGCCAGGGACATCTTACCACATGCCTCTCAAGCATGTCTTATGCAAGCTAATCAGAAGGGGAAATGACCCAGGAGAGGAGTGGTGGTTGGGAATGTGGAGAAAGGGCTTAAGAAGGGAAAAAAATGTGATTCTAAGGAAAAAAAAGAAGCCTTCTTTATGTCATAGGTGCTGAATCTTGGTTACAAAGAGTAACTTCTACCTAATAAATTAGGCAACTACCAGTAAAATTGGCTAGGTTTTATCTTCTATTGATAAATAATGTCTTGAATGTGGTATTGAAGAAATCAAAAATTCATAAGTTGTGGTTAATTAGCTATGTCTAGTAAGGGCTCTAGAATGAGAGGTAGGGCTTCTCCTGACATTTATATCCTTACCTCCTACCGACTAAGCAATTATTTCCAAAGTGCTTCAGCATGGTACCAGTAGTTGAGGTAAGATGTCCTCCCACTTACCTTCTTTCTAAACCCCTTGGCTCCCCTCAAAGATAAAGTGGTATTTTCATTGGGGCATATGCACTGACTCTCTGTCAGTTAAGCCTGGCTCCAACAAGAGTTGATTCACCATATCTGGTCACTGAAACAGCATGGCTACTAGTAGCTAGCTTAATAAAACTATTGAGATCACTAGATTTTCATTCTCTCATGAATTTCTACTTTTATACTGGTTAATTAGCCAGGGCACATATATGTGTAGTCATCAAAGTCAGCAATAACAGATTTGTTCAAATTTAGCTCTAAGAGTCACAAACCAAATCCTCTTGAAATACATACACCTGAGTGTTCATATTTATTAAAAGGTAAGTATATGTGTGTATGTGTGTATGAAATGATATCATGAATGTGCCCACTGATTCTTCTCCACCATCTTTTATGTCTTTTATGTAGACCTTTCATAAATGTTATTTTAACTGAAGCTTTCACAAAGGAATCCTCAGTTGTAAATTGTGCAACTAGAAAAAGAAAAAACAGAAAAGCTGTTTGATATCATTAGAAAGAAACCAAGTCTAAAAGAGAAAATACGATATTCACCTTGCAAAAATCTGGAATGTATCCTACTAAATGGCATGCCTCTATGAGAAAACAAAACATCCCTAGAGGGACAGGTTTCAAAGATTGAGTTTCTTCTATCCAGAGCTGTATTGTCTAACCCACATGTCAATGCAATGTTCGAATCATCAAAGTAAAATTAAATTTAAAATTCAGTTCTCCAGCCACACTATCTATATTTAAAAGGCTCAATAGACACATATAAGTTATGGCTACCATAGTGGAATAAATAAAGAACGTTCCATCAGCTCAGGAACCCCTGCAAAGAAAAGAAAGGAGGAGAGATGCAAGGAAATAAGGAAGGAAAGGAGGGAGGGAGGGAGTGAAGGAAAAGAAGGAAGAAAAGAAGGAAGGAAGAAGAAAAAAGAAAAGAAAAATGGGAAGGGGAAGGAGAAGGTGAGGAAGAGGAGGACGAAGAAGAAGAGAAAGAAAAGATGGAAGAGGAGGACAAGGAAGAAAATGAGAAGGGGTTAGGTAGATTGGAACACATTTCTAACACAAAGCTTAGAGCGCTAATAAAACAAACACATTTCTGAAGCTGAAGAGTTAAATTAAGACCAGTTTCATCATTAAACAAGAACTTTACAACCAGAGATGGATTAAACAATTTTCAAAGTTACTATAGGAAGTCATAGATGAGAGTTGTACAGTTGGATTCTTTTAAACAAAAACTGGCATCCAAGTGTGAGGCAGTACTAAGTAGAAATCTTTGAAGGAGTAGCAATTTTATCCTGGAATCACTACAAAAATTTCTATTCCATTTAGAATCCCACAATCCAAATAAACATAAAATGATTTCTGATACTTTTTGCATAAAATTATTCCTAACTAGCGTGCAATTGAAATGAAGGTTAAGAGCATATCTTGAGCAAACACCATCACCATCAAATATGTATAAAGCAGTTGCACTGTATATGGAATTGTGCTGGCTTCTGTAAGTGGTAGCAGTCTAACAAGAGGCTGCCTCTACCCTCAAGTGAATGTCAGTATAGAATAATTCAAGACTGAGAGGGACAAACGCTCAAAATATGTGCCATTCTTGTTAATGAATAATGACCAGAAGACTGCTAATACTTGGAAATATAATAGTATCACAGCCTTTGTTAAAATAGACTTACGAATACAACAAATAGATTTATAAATAATGACAAGGAGTTATCTATATGCCACAGAAGCTCAATAGTTGCATTTTTGCCATGTACTGTAATTTTTTCCAAATATGTCACCACTGTTATTGCATGAAGGAAGTATAAAACTGAAGCACACATCATTTCTGAAATGAATGGAAATTCATTCTAGAAAATTATTACGGTCATTGTCAGTGAACTTCTCAATTTAGGATGAAACCTGATAACTCTGAACTGTAGTAGAGCTTTAAGTTGTTTCTTTGAAAACATTCCAGTCACTTAGTGATCTAAATTGATTTCTTTAAAAAGGTCCATCTTTCCCTTCTTGCATTTTCAGATGTTTTCCAGGGCATAGGTTTTGGTTGTATCCTTTTTGACATTGTTCATGTTGATTAGGTGGTCCATAGTTAACAGCAGAATTCTGCACACCTCAGCTACAGGTCAGTTCTGTGGCTCTGAAGGTCACAGATGGCCTTGCCTTGGATAATAGCAGAGGCTTGGCTCTGCTTCTCCTATATCTGATTCTTCAGCAAGCTAGCTCAGGCATGTCCTTGTCACGGTGAGATGCCCAATCATTTAAGCCCCTTTCAAGCCTCTGTGTTGCATTTGTAAATATCACATGTGCCAGGACAGGTCATGTGACCCTGAGTCAAAGAGTAGAGAGGACATCTGTCGGAATGACAGAGCACCAGGGGCAGTACTGTGGCGCTGTGGGTTAAGTCTCCACCTGAAATGCCAGCATCCCATATGAGCACCGGTTCTAGTCCTGGCTGCTCCTCTTCCAATCCAGCTCTCTGCTGTGGCCTGGGAAGGCAGTAGGAGATGCCCCAGGAGCTTGGGCCTGCGTGGGAGACCAGAAAGAATCTCCTGGCTCCTGACTTCAGATCGACACGGCTCCAGCCATTGCAGCCATTTGGGGAGTGAACCAACGAATGGTAGACTTTTCTGTCTCTCCCTCTCACTCTCCGTAACTCTACCCCTCAAATAAATAAATCTTTTTTTAAAAAAATGACAGACCACTGCAAATTGAGGAATATCATGTAAATAAGCAAAAGGAATCAGATTCATTAATGTAATCAACCTGCCACAAAGTACATTTTACCTAAATTTAAAGAACATAGAAAACTAAAGCAATGATTACTACATTTCTGTCTCCACACTCAAGAGTTTTTCATTCTCAATTTTTAATTTCCCCTAAAATTTAAACAAATCAGTGCAAAACTATTTTTTAAATGTTTACTTATTTTCACTTTAGTTGGAAGGCAAAGAGACAAAGACAGAGACAGATACCCTCCATCAGCTGATTCCTTCTCCAAATGCCTGCTACAGTCAGGGGCTGGGCCACGCTGAAGCCAGAAGCCAGAAACTCAATCTGGGTGCCCCCACCATGGGTGGCAGTTGCCTGCTGCCTCCCAGGGTGCACATTAGCAGGAATCCAGAGTCAGAAGCAGAGCTGTGACTTAAATCCAGGCACCTGGACATGAGATGTGGTCATCCCAAGTGATGTTGTGCCAAATGCCCATCCCAATTCAAACTATCGTGCTAAAATAAGTCAGAAAGTAGATCTACCGAGGTGAAAACAAAGTCTAAATCTATAGCGAGAGGTACAGATCTTGTCACATGCATAGCTCTGCAGCAAAGAGCTGTTCTGAATTTCCATGAATACTTGCAAAGGAAGATCTGCAAACAGAGAAACACAGCACATTACTTCCCTGGGGAAAGGACAAGTGTCCTTTCTCAATCAATATTTGTAATTTTTATTTTCTCCTAAATAAAAATGTTTTTCTCTAGACAATAATATTGAGTAAATTTTTTGGAAAGATGTAATAGAAAGGTGCATAGAAAACTTTCCCAAAAAGTTACTGTTGAATTTTGTCCACAGAGAAACTGAAAATGTCACTGTGATTAGTAAGCAAACAAATTTGTCTCTGAGAAACAGAATCTAATCACAGCAGCGTCTCTACAAACAAAGTTAAACACAATGATAGAAATGATTCAAGATTCTATAAGAGCAACAACTGAGGTGGAAAGGAGAGTTTGGTATGAATTAATCAGTTTGCTTGTCTTCGCTGAGAAGAATTACTGGATAATTACCACTTTATTTTCCTACTTAGTCAGCATAGAAGGCCAGAATGTAGATTTAAGAAAGATTAAGGAGAAATTGTTAAAATCCAGTAGACATCAAAGGAAACAAAGAGCCATGCCCCAATACCTGGAAGTATGTACAACACTTCCATTTACTTCCTGTTCGTCAGAACTTAATCTCATAGCCACACCTACCAGTGAGGGGGCTGGGAACTGTGGGCTCCCTTTTGAACAGCCTATACTCAGACAAAATTTGGTAGCCTGTACCCAATGGAAGTAGAAAATTAATTTCGGAGGAATATTATGAGGGCGAACAGCAGCTTTCTCACAGCAGGAGTCTCCTTTGTGGACCCTTTGTGCTAGAGTTCTTAAGCACTTCACCGGTTACTCATTCTCAAAAAAGCCCCGGCCTTAGCGACTACATCCAGGAATTCAATTTGTTTCCACCCTCCACTTCCTTCTTCCTACATTCTCAGAGCTCTCTACACCAACAAGTGAATGAACACTGTCACAAAAGAAAAACACAACCAAAACTCAGAGGGGAGCCTCCAAGGTTGCGTGACTGTTAGTCCCCCCCACAGACACGTGCCAACCAGTGCTTGCAGATTCCGACGAGGTAGCCCCACGACTTGGGATATTCATCCCATAGAGGGAGTGGACAAAATGTGAAGGGAAATGTCAAAATCTAAGAGTTCAGGAGGTGAAGTTCCATAAGTTAAGAAACAACACATTCAAACGAAATCATCTGCTTGTTACTACTCTGTTCTCCCAGAACCTCTGCCTCAATTTTCCCCAGAATTACTGAGGATGTTTCTGGTAGAGAGAAACAAAATAGCTAGGTTTATATTGTGCAAATGTGCTGAAATATTACACTATGTCCCATAAAGGTGAACAAGTATTCACATGTTAACACAAATTTTTGAAGAAAAAAATTGCAGGTGGTAGAATGAGGAAAAATAGCTGTTGTTGACTTACTTTCTGGGCATTGGAAGCATAAAATTGCTATTTTTTTTCAAAGATTATTATTATTTGATCTCAAAAGCCAAATGAAGACAAATGATGGGTTGACTTAAAATTATATTTATCCCTAGCCCCACATCTTTGGTCTTACTCAATATGCTATATAAAAAAAAAAAAAAAAAGCCTGCAAGTGGAATAGTAGGGCCCTATCTGGTAATCTAGTAATATTAATACTTTGAGTAAGATTAATAATGAATTTTGGTTGATATTTTAATTGCAGATACTATGGGTGTTTCATAGTTTTGTTTGTTTGTTTGTTTTTTGTTACATACTTTTTACATTTCTTCTTAGCTTGAGTTTAGTTCTCACCATGGACAGAAACTGGTACAAGCAACTTCTGAATCCACTTTTCACCAAACATGGAGTGCAGATGAATGGACTCCGAGGTTACGGCACAAAGGAGTTGTGTGTTTGATGTTGAGGGGACAACCATTGGTGACCACCTGGCTCTGAGTTGGCTAACGAGAATGATAACAAGTGCTGTTCTCTGTTTTTCTCTCTGCCCCAGCTGTGAAATTTGGGAGGATGTCTAAGAAGCAAAGGGACAGCCTGTATGCTGAGGTGCAGAAGCACCAGCAGCGGCTGCAGGAGCAGCGGCAGCAGCAGAGTGGGGAGGCCGAGGCCCTGGCCAGGGTGTACAGCAGCAGCATCAGCAACGGCCTGAGCAGCCTGAACAACGAGACCAGCGGCACTTACGCCAACGGGCACGTCATTGACCTGCCCAAGTCCGAGGGGTATTACAATGTAGATTCTGGCCAGCCATCCCCTGATCAGTCAGGACTTGACATGACTGGAATCAAACAAATAAAGCAAGAACCCATCTATGACCTCACATCTGTACCCAACTTGTTTACCTATAGCTCCTTCAACAATGGACAATTAGCTCCAGGAATAACCATGACTGAAATTGGTAAGTGGAATCTCCTGCAAGCTCATTTTTGGAAATACTTTTGGACGTTGTGTTGGTTGTATTAAGGAGGGCCGTTTTCTTAGATCTAAACTGAATTCCTGGCATCTGCTGAGGAAATAAATAGGTTTTAAAATATATTCTAATAAATGTCATTGTTCCTGTGCCCCATAAAAGTTTATTTCAAGTAAAGGAAGAAAGAAGAAATTATAAATAGTAAGATGAGATCTGTAAAGAACAGATGCTATCTGTTGAATTTGGGTTCTCACTGAGGGAAAATGTTATTGGTATAAACACAGAAATCCCATCAACTATTCAAAGTGAAGCTATTCGAAGTAAAATAGCTAAGGGATAGAGAAACAGTGTGAAATGATCAAATGAACAGGGCTCCAACTCTCCCTGGAAGATAACTGGGGTAAAATTTAAGCAGATGGGGCCTAAGTTCCCTTCTTTATAAACGCAAGGGCTGGGTAGACCTGAAGACTATGAAGGCTTTTGTAAATCTAAATTCAAGAATTCCATATGGGATTCTGGATTACAGCAAAGAAAAAGAGTGTGGTCCGTAGTGTTACAGAACACTAGAGCCACAAATAAGCTTGTCACGGGCATGATTGCATCAGCAACCTGATCCTCTTTTGGGTACAGCGTCATTCAATTCCTAAACGATCTTCAAGACTCTATCCTAAGCAAGCTCTCTTCTACACTGTCCTTGCAGCTTTCTTTTACCTGTTAAGAGTCCATTAAAGGTTTAACCAGTTAATCTCATTGACTAACTGCCATAAAAAATGTGAGTGTAGGTTTAACACGTGACCCTCCTGTGAAGCACAGTATCATGTTATCAATCGCCTAGAAGTAAACAAACAGTAGCTTCCCCGGTGTCATTGGTGGTTCAGTGTACAGGGGGAAGCAGCCTGGAGCTCAGGAGCTTTTGGAATCACCCTCACATACCACCCCAGGAGGTCGGAGACCAGGGTGGTTAAGAACCACAACTGGAGTTCAACAGCCGGCCCTGTGGCTTTTTATTTAAATTGTAGCAAGTTTCTCAAGCCCAGTTTTCTCATATTTAAAAAGGGAGAAGTATGAGCTTGTAGTTCACAGGATATTGTAAGAATTAAAATTGAGTTAGTGCTCGTAAAACATAGCCACGTTTGGCCCTCAGCAAACGCTCCGTGGCTCTTAGTGATTATTATTTGTATGCTGCGTGCTTAGTTCACCTTCCCTGTTGTTTAACCTGCGAATGGGAGCCTAAAGCCTACAAGTGCTTTAAATTAAGTTTCTGGGTACACATAATGAAATACACAGCCATATTCTTAGCTACTTGTGCCAGGGGGTTGATGAAATGGGATGTTACACAGTTAGAAGCTTGAAATGCTACATTTCTTCCTTTTGGCAATTCAGCATGAGACAGTGAGTAAAGCTGACCTTCACAACTGAGGAATGCAGAAAACTCAACATCAACTGTAGTAACAAAAACATTCAGTTAATTTTGATAATTTTAACCTTGTTTTTACTGTCTCACAGGCACTTCACACATTTACTTTTCACAAACACCTTAAAAGATAAGTAGAAATATCATTCCCATTTCACAGATGCAGAAACAAAAGTTTAGCAAAGCCTCACAACTTCCTAGTGTCCTGTAGTTATTAAACGATACAGCCAAGAATCTGACTCTAGAGTCCTTGTACTCACCATTAACCTGCTACCTGGCTTGAGCTCATTAATCAAAACTACATTGTCTACTAATAGAGACAGTCTGTTCAAGTAGAGTTACTCAATCTTTCCAGGAGGGCATGTTAAAAAAAAATAAAGGAAAAGGTAATAATTTTTAAATTGATATTACTTAGTGTCTAAGCTCCTGCGTCTGTTACTGATTTGGAATATGCATTTCAATCCTAGTGAAACAAAACCTTCCAATTTTCCGGTTCTCTTCTTTTTTTTTTTTTTTTTTTTTTTTTTACAGGCAGAGTGGATAGTGAGAGAGACAGAGAGAAAGGTCTTCCTTTTGCCGTTGGTTCACCCTCCAATGGCCCCTGCGGCCAGCGCACCACGCTGATCCGAAGGCAGGAGCCAGGTGCTTCTCCTGGTATCCCATGGGATGCAGGTCCCAAGCACTTGGGCCATCCTCCACTGCACTCCCTGGCCACAGCAGAGAGCTGGCCTGGAAGAGGGGCAACCGGGACAGAATCCGGCGCCCCGACCGGGACTAGAACCCCGTGTGCTGGCGCCACAAGACGGAGGATTAGCCTAGTGAGCCGCGGCGCCGGCCCCAGTTCTCTTCTGCCCTGTATCCAAAAGGAAAATATTCTAATGGTTAAAATCAGGTTTTTTTGTAATTTAGCAGCAGTAGGAAGTACTATGGAAAGAGACCATAGCCACAAATTTCAGGTCTAGTTTACCTTAGACAAGTCACTTTTCCTCTCTGTCCCTCAATCTCTTCTCCTAAAACTGGTAAAACCAGACTAGTTAATCTCGAAATTTATCCATATTTCCTGTACAGATATTGACATGCAAAATGAATTTTCACATTTTGGTCTTAGTTATTTCAAGACACCATTCGTCTTGGAGGTGTTGTCCTTCAGAAAAGCACTGTGAGTGCTTTCAACTTAGCGAACTCCCAAGCCTAAATATGGTCTTGGTTCACATTTTGTTGAAACAGCAATGCCACCTAGTGGACACAAACTCATTCTGTGAGACTTCATACTGGTTACCTATTTGGAGCCACCATAGGGTGACTGTCTCCTGAACCATCCAAACAAGTGACACTCATTTCATTGAGACACTAGGTCCATAAGAGTATCCTGGGGCAGAAAGTCATTAGTGGTATAATGTGGTTGTTAAAGCTGGTTCTAGAATCAGACTGTTTGCATTCATAACCTGGCTGTGCCATTTCCCGTAGGCATAATTTACTTGTGAGTGTCAGTTGTAAACCTGTGCCAGCACAGTCTTTATCAGTGCATGTGGATTAGAGTTAATATTTATGAATTCTTAGGACAGCACCTGTTAGTGCAAACATCATCACTAGTAATAATATGATTGATATTACAATTTATTATTATATAATATCATTATCACAGGAAATATAATTACCTTCTGTTGAACACCTAATTGTACTGAGAAATGTCTTGTTTAATTCTCATAACCATTCTGTTATGTCTCTTACGAAAGTATTTGTATGCCCATCTCTTTTTTTAAAAGATTTATTTTATTTATTTGAAAGGCAGAGGGGCCAGTGCTGTGTTGTAGTTGGCAAAGCCACTACCTGCAGGACCAGCATCCCATATGGGCACCGGTTCAAGTCCCGGCTGCTCCACTTCCGATCCAGCTCTCTGCTATGGCCTAGGAAGGCAGAAGAAGATGGCCCAAGTCCTTGGGCCCCTGCACCCACGTGGGAGACCCAGAAGAGCCCCTGGCTCCTGGCTTCAGATCAGCACAGTTCCGGCCATTGCAGCCATCTGAGGAGTGAACCAGCAAATGGAAGGCTTCTCTCTCTGCCTCTGCCTTTGCCTTTCTATAACTCTGCCTTTCAAGCAAATAAATAAATCTTAGAGAAAAAAAAAAGAAAGAAAGAAAGAAAGAAAGAAAGAAAGAAAGAAAGAAAGAAAGAAAGAAAGAAAGAAAGAAAGAAAGAGTTACAGAGAGAGGTAGAGACAGAGAGAGAGGTCTACCATCCACTGGTTCACTCCCCCAAATGGCCGCAATGACCAGAGCTGGGCCTATCAGAAGCCAGGAGCCAGGAGCTTCTTCCAGGTCTCCCGTGTTGGTACAAGGGCCCAAGGACTTGGACCATCCTCCACTGCTTTCCCGGGTGCATTAGCAGGGAAATTTGAGCCCCATACCAATGCCTTTAAGTCAGCAGTAAAGAAGCAATCCCACTGTACAGACGAAGAAATTAAGGGTCAGAAAGAGTGAGTGATTTTTCCTAGAACACAGTTAGATCATGGTAAACCTTAATTCTAACTTAAGTTATTTGACCACCTTAGAATGCCAGGCATTATCCCAGTAATCTATCTTTTGAATTGTGCCAAGCACTTAAGACAATCAGAACATGGTTCCTACCCTCACCGTGTAGGGGACACACAGGAAAACAAGTGATTGCAAGGCACAGTGTCATACACTATGAACCCTGGGCATCATGGTAACGCATGTTCATGCAGGTGTGGGACGTGACAGCTATCAGTCACTCTGAGCCACATACCTTATCATGAATGTTGCATTATCATAGTTTTTAGAATACAAAACAAAATGTGCGTAAGTGAAGAAAAGAAAACATGAAACATTTCAGGACGTACTTCCTTGAGTGTTCTAAAACCCCAAAGGAGGAAGAAGCCATGAAATAATAGATGGGCAGAAGTAAGCTGCAAATTAATATTTACGCAGCAGTCATAACTCGGCTTAGCTGAAAATATATTTTCAGCTGGCTTGACGGACCTGTTATAGTTAGGAGAATAAAGTTTCGCAGTGGTCGATGGCAGGGAGAGAAAGCTAACTAAAGAATACTCAGCAAACAAGCAGAAAACTGCAGTGGGATCTCTTGTTTTTGGTCCCCAATTGTAGCTCTCAAATGGTTTGTGGGATTCTGCGGATTGATGCTCTTTTTTATGACTGAATGATTGATTGATTGATTTGAAAGGCACAGTGACAGAGAGAAAGGGAGAAACAGAGAGAGATTTTCAACAGCTGGTTCAATTCCCAAATGCCCACAACAGCCAGGTCTGGGCCAGTCCAAAACCAGTAGCCTGGAATTCCATCCAGGTCTCCCACATGGCTGACAAGGACTCAAGTTCTTGAGCCAACATCTGCTGCCTATCAGGCACATTAGCAGGAAATCTGGTCTGCAGTGGCCAGGACTTGATCCCAGCCACTCTGATATAGGATGCAATTACTCCAAGCAGCTGTTTAACCTGCTGCACCACAACACCCACTTTAGGACTGATACTCTTAACAAAAGCTCATTTAACCTCATAGGTGATTGATAAGTGATCCACAGGTACCATGCAACAAAG